ACTACCCCACCCCACCACCTTTTTCAACAGCCACAGAAATATTTATTTCTGATGTCACCTTTATTTTTTAAAGTGCTCCAAGAGCAAGAGATTCAGCCACTGCCAGCTCTGGATTACCTTTATAAAGTTTTCTATTTGTCCTGCATCCCTATTAATGTGTCTCTTCAATCCCCAGGTCTGAAAATGTCAGAAAAGATTCTTACTGACTCAGCTTGGGTGGTGCTCCCACTCTTTGAACCATAGTACTCCAGTGAGTGTAGTTCCTTTATTGACTAAATGTGAGTGCAGAATGGACTGCCCTGATTGACCATTTCCATCATCCCAATCTTGTTCCAAAGAGCAAATCATGAACCATTTGTGAAATAGAACACACAAGAAAACCACAGAACACAACACAATAATTTAGAAAGTAATCTCAGAATGCTTCCACCACAGCATAGTGTTCTTGGAAACTTTTGTTTTCACTCTTGCTATATGCATGTTTCCCTAACTGTGACTTTGGTCATGCAATAAAAGGTATTTCTTAATGTTTGTTGTAGTTAAAAAAAAAAAAGTGAAAAAGCTTTCAGGTCTACTGCAAATTCCGTCAATGCTGACGTCTCCAGATTAGGTGTTTGCAATATGTTACAGCAGCAAGACGGTTCCCTTGTTTGATCTTCTGCAGAACAGACTGCAGTAGAGCATGACTGCTCCCTTAATCCCTCTGCTCCTCTTTCACCCACTTTAGAGAGTAATCAGATGTACTTATTTCCCTTCTGGGCTTTAACACCAAGTATTATATGTCCTTGCTCATTCTCAGTTTCATTTGTCTTTTATCCCCCTACATTCCCCTCCCTTCCCCAGTATAATCACAGTAGAATATTGTCATTTCCTTTAGTAAATGTTTACTATGGCTTTCTGAATTTGTAAATTAAAAACAGCTAACACTCACCAAAAATGTTCTGTTTTACTTATTAAAATCCCTTCTCATATAATACAGTTTTCATGAACTGAGGATGACAGATTAATGCCATCATTTTGAATCAGCTGCAAGTACTACATTGAACATAAATGAGTTACTGAAGTGATATGTTTTGAAACTTAATCACAGTTCCTGCTCTGAAAGGATGGATGGCTCTGAGGAGAACTGTTGATTTCCAATATAATTATTTCTCAGTTAATTGTGGGGCATTACCCTGCAGACGTTACTTACACCTGATTTTATTTCTACTATTGTAGGAAAATCTTTTTAATATCCTACCCCCCCCTTTTTTTTTGAGATGGAGTCTTGCTCTGTCACCCGGCTAGAATACAGTGGCACAATCTTAGCTCCCTGCAACCTCCACTTCCCTGGTTCAAGCAATTCTCCTGCCTCAGCCTCTTGAGTAGCTGCGACTACAGGAAAGCACCACCACGCCCAGCTAATGTTTGTATTTTTAGTAAAGACAGTGTTTCACCATGCTGGCCAAAATGGTCTCCATCTACTGACCTCATGATCCTCAGCTCCCCCAATTGCTGGGATTACAGGTGCAAGACACCACACCCGGCCTTTAATATACTTTTTTAAAGATTTGTCTAATCATCAAGAACATTGTTAAATAACAGTGATTTTAAAAGTCCTCTAACAATAACAACTAGTATTCCACTAAGAAACAAAGATTATCCATCGAAACATGTTAACAAATGCCTTTTCAGCATCTACTCCATTTAAGATTTATTTTTCCTTTAGTCAATAGGTTTGCATTTTACTCCACTCATAGATAGATCCTGGTTTATCACTGTTGACTTTTTAATTGGCTACCAGAGTTGATTGTTCATATTTAATGGAAGATGTGTGTATACTTACCTATAACTGAGAATGTGCTGAACTTAGTACATTCTGAACCTATAACTGAGAATGTGCTGAACTTAAGTGGGTGCTGAATAATGAGAACATGGACACAGGGAGGGGAACATCACATACCAGAGCTTGCGGAGGGGTGGGGAGGGTAGGGGAGGGATAGCAGGGGGTGGGGGGATTTGGAAAGGACAACATTAGAAGAAACACCTAATGTAGATGACAGGGGACAGATGCAGCAAACCACCACAGCACGTGTATACCTATGTAACAAATATGCATGTTCTACACATGTACCCCAGAACTTAAAATATAATAAATACATAAAATTTATAAAGAATACATTTTCTTAAATATTAAACAATTTCTGTAATAATTTGAAACCATTTCATTAGCTATAGATTTATCCTTTTCTCAGATGTCTAAAAAGAAGCTGATATTTTGAAGACGTTAGCTCATTGGTAACCTCATTTTTTCCCCCATTTATCTTAGTACTCACTGTTTTCTAGGTTTAATTTAAGCACTTTCTATTTTTACAGAAACTCTTACACTTTTTCAATATTTTCAAATATGCTAACATAGGTTTTTTTTAAACTATGTCCTTGAAACCTTAAAACAATCCCTAAATATTTCTATCTAAATTAAGTCCCCAGGAAGTTTAATAATTGTTTTCAACAAATAGCTCTTCTATTTAATTCTATAGGTTTAGGTAATAATTTTCCAGACACAAGCATTATGAAGAAAATAATTTTTGGCTGGGGGAAGAGGCTCACACTTGTAATCCCAGCACTTTGGGAGCCCCAGGTGGGCAAATCACCTGAGATCAGGAGTTCCAGATCAGCCTGACCAACATGATGAAACCCCATCCGTACTGAAAATACAAAATTAGCCAGGTGTGGTGGCAGGCACCTGTAATCCCAGCTACTTGGGAGGCTGAGGCAGGAGAATCACTTGAACCTGAGAGGTGGAGGTTGCAGTGAGCCAAGAAGGTGCCATTGCACAAAAATGAAACTCTATCTTAAAAATTTTTTTTTTGACTTTGTGGATTTTAAAGGGATTTTTGTAGCTATAAATGTGCAGATTTTGGTTTTGCTTTGTGTTTGGAGAATTTTGGTCAGTTCATTTTTGTACTGTAATTTTGTTTTTGGCTGCTTTACTATTTTTCATTGTACTGTGGGTATGTACTAACAGACAGTAGACTAAAGGAGCAACAAGATATTTTAACTCATTTTCAATGGTTAAATTCAGTGCCTACTACTTCTGAATAATTGATGAAAGAAAGCTGCCTTGTCACAGTACTCTGTATTTCACCATCAAAATGATATGAGGCCAGGTGCGGTGGCTCACGCCTATTATCCCAGCACTTTGGGACCCCGAGGCAGGCAGATCACCTGAGATCAGGTGTTCAAAACCAGCCTGGCCAACATGGCAAAACCCCGTCTCTACTGAAAATACAAAAATTAGCTGGGTGTGGTGGTGGGTGCCTGTAATCCCAGCTACTGGGGAGGCTGAGGCAGGAGAATTACTTAAACCAAGGAGACAGAAGTTGCAGTGAGCTGAGATTGTGCCACTGCACTCCAGCCTGGGTGACAGGGCAAGACTCTGACACACACACACACACACACACACACGGTATTAGGCTTTGGTTTGAGATATAACCCACATACTAAAATATTAATATTTATATATTTATACTCACAAACTTAAGTATTTATATCATAATGTATCCTTTATATTTCAAACCAAAGCCTAATTATAATATGTTACAGCAGTAAGACTGTAACATATTATAATTTGTATCATAGTGTGTGAGTTACAAACCTTATAAACATAAACTTTAATATAGTGTATTAAGCACTTTAACATAAATAAGGTATCAAGTATCTGTATGTACCTTTTATCATGGCTACGGTCTTCTAGACATACAACCATCCTAGAATTCCTGGAAGGAAATTCTTTGGTAGAAGAAAACATACAGCCTAGGAATATGTTTAGATACGCCCATTCCTTGACTCATGTCATTATAGCTCTCCCAGCAAGAGTCGTGCTGAAAGCTGCAAGTTTACAGACCTTCTTCCTTTGCTTCTCTTACTCTAATTCGACACCCTAACTAAAATACAACCCCCAAAATAAGATTTTCCATCTTCACATTATTTTTCTCAGGAATTACATAGGTTGTCACAATAATGTCCTAATTTGTTCATTTTCCCAAGAAAGATGGCATTTCCCCTTCCAGGATCCTGCTCAGATGTAGGCTCAGATGCCTGCCTGAAGTAGGTGCTGAAACAATTCGACTCAAAAAGCATCTAGTTCCGCGTTCAATACTACCGAGCATTAAAGGAAACTACTTCGGATACTCCAATAACCAGAATTGTTGAGTCCTGTTTAGGAAAGCTGTAGTCAATTAAGTTTATTATTGGAGAAACAGCATTTTGTAATCCTTTTGTAAACTAGCTCTTTCTCGGTAATTGAGTGGCTCTGAAAAGAGCCTTTGATTTCAGCTTTGGACTTTTTTTTCTTCTTCTAGATATTAGACATTCAAACCACTCTCTGGCCTTTACAACTTGTGTAGTTACTCACACTGGTCTTTGTGGTAGTGGCTCCCAACCTTCTGGGACAGCAGCACAGCTTGGATGTTGAGCAAGACGCCACCCTAAGCCGTCGTTACTCGGCCCAGCAGCTTGTTGAGCTCCTAGTCGTTGCAGATGACCAGCTGAGAATGGCGAGGGATGATGCGGGTCTTCTTGTGGAGGACCGCGTTGCCTGCCAACTCTAGGATGTCGGCGGCCAGATACTCCAGCACCGCTGCTGGGTACATCTGCGCGCCGGCCCTGACCCGCTCGGCATGGTTGCCCCTGCTGAGCAGTCGGTGGACCCCTCCCACGGGGAACTGTAGGCCCTCTCTGAATGAACGGGGTTTCGCTCCAGTGCGTGCCTTTCCCTCCAGCTTCCCTAGTCTAAGACATAGCTCAAAAATAAAACTTTCAACCGAAAAAGCCGTTAAAACGGGTCTTCAACGTATTTCTAGTCTGATGGCAAATTGTGGCTTATTATCTGATTGAGTGGCTGACAGCCCCCCTATCCAATCAGAGAACCTTACTGCTATGGCCCTATTTAGGTACATACTCTATTATCCAATCAGATGTTGGATGCAAATGACGTAGGTTGAGGGTCGAGCCTATAAATACCACACTTCGCTCCTGTCAAACGTCAGTTTCTGATCTCCCACGGAACTTGTAAGATAAACATGCCAGAGCTTACTTCAAAGGGCACTACCATTTCTAAAAAGGGCTTCAAGAAGGCGGTGGCTAAAACTCAAAAGAAGGAAGGCAAAAAGCGCAAGAAAAGCCGCAAAGACAACTATTCTATTTACCTCTACAAGGTGCTGAAGCAGGTTCACCCCGACACTGGAATCGCTTCCAAGGCTATGAGTATTATGACTTCTTTTGTTACTGACAATTTTGAGCGCATTGCCAATGAGGCTTCCCGCCTGGCGCATTTTGACAGGCGCTCAACCATCACCTCCAGGGAGATCCAGATGGCTGTGCGCCTGCTGCTGCCGGGGGAACTAGCCAAACACGCGGTGTCAGAGGGCACCAAGGCCGTCACCAAGTACACCAGCTCTAAGTAAAACATGATCTAACCAGCAGATGAGCTCCACAAACCAAAGGCTAAAGAGCCACTGTAAAGTTTCTAATAGGGCTGTAGGCTGTTTTATGAATATGCCTCGTTGCCAACTGATCGATTAGGCAAACACCGTTATCTTTAATTCTAAAGTTAGCATTAACTATCTGCAGCAGTTTTGGTGAAAGCTAGTCTCACAGCTGAAACAATTCAAAGGGAGCTTCCATAATCCTGGGTTCATGGGGATATTCTTCCTGTGGTCACTGCTATGGGGAAATAAGACTTGCCTTTTTGTCTACATTTTCTATTTCAAACCCTGTATGATGACAGCGAAAGAGGCCTGGAGCTTCCCACTTAGGGAAGTCTGGCACTGAGCATTAGGCTGTTTGCTTTCTCTTGACTTTGGCCACCATGCGTGCATAACATCCACCAAGTCCGGGTGGATCTATTTCAGCGCCTTGTAGATGTAAACGGAATAGCTCTCTCTACAGCATCTCCTGCTTTTCAGGCTCATTCTTTTCTCACATATTATAAAAAAGTGATCAAGATAACTTCCCTTGAACTGCCAGGATTTGAGGTCCGAAGCCCAAGCCTTCTGCTCTCTTGTGAACTCCAGAAAGTCAACTGTTTATTCAATGTAACAGTTCTTATCTTGCTTAGCCATTTAAGAATTCTCTCCCCAGGGATTTCCAGTCAATCCCAACAGAAGTGTTCCTGAACTGTGTTCCAGATATCCATGAGTATCACCCTATTCTCATGGTTGTCCAATATTTTAAAAATGAATAGTTACCTCATTTACAGTAAAAAAATACCCAGAACTATATTTGACTCTTTAAAATGCCAAATATATATTAAAGTGGGTGATCAGTTCACACCCATCCCGTGGTCTTCTGAAGGAGAATGACTCAGACAGCACCTGAACTAGGCTCAGTTCTAGAAAATGGACTGAAGAGGAATGGGGTCTTAAGACCCCAAGACCCAGTCGAATAGACTGACTTTTCCTGCCTTTACTTTATCCTGTCCTCTCTGGGTGAAGCCTTGGAATTGTGTGACCAGCATGACGTCAAAGTCAGAGTGTCGAGAGCAGAGGCAGGACTGCAGGGCAGTGGAGCCTGGGCTGTGATCACTCTGTTAGTGGAACTTCTCTGCCTTTGGTGACATTGCTTATCTCAACAAGTCCAGCTGGCATTTCCTGTTATTTGCAGTCAAAAATACATCTGATATAAAAGCTACATGAGGTTTGTTCTGAAAAGGTTTTATTTGCTTGTATTCATAATTATCGATTGCCCAGATAATCCTAAAAGTCCTTGGGTAGCCGGCACGGTGGCTTACGCCTATAATCCCAGCACTTTGGGTGGATCACGAGGTCAAGAGATTGAGACCATCCTGGTCAACATGATGAAACCCCGTCTCTACTAAAAATACAAAAAATTAGCTGGGCATGGTGGCGCATGCCTGTAATCCCAGCTACTCAGGAGACTGAGGCAGGAGAATTGCCTGAACCCGGGAGGTAGAGGTTGCGGTGAGCCGAGATCGCGCCATTGCGCTGCAGCCTGGGTAACAAGAGTGAAACTCTGTCTCAAAAAAAAAAAAAAAAAATCCTTGGGTAATCAGGGTAGCGACAATGGTCACAAACTTGACAAGTTTATTTGGCAGCTGTGTGATACCTGCTGTTTTCCAGGGTGTTAGAAAAGCAGGAATCCCTGATTACAGATGATCCCATCGCCAATACAAGGTGGGCATAGATGCCCCTTCCCCACCCACTTGTCACCTCCTTGGAAGATTTCCCAGCTAAATAATGCAAGGGTTGTGTAGGGGCTGTCTTACTGTGCACAAAAGTGTGGAAGCACTTATTTTAATGGGTCTTGCTGGTACATTGATATATCCTATTAAATGGTACTGTTTAAAGAAAGCATATATGCATCAAAAATTTCATTGAAAGATAAAAGTTAAACGAACATGAGTTAAACAAATCAAGAATTCCAGCTAACCACAGGTTTCCAGGTAGTATTTGATCCGTTTTCAAGGCAGCTCATATCAGTTTAATGCTTGTCAGCTCTTACAAATTTAAATTCGTTTCAATCCTGCTAACCAGACGGGTGGGTTCTCCAGAGTCCCCCAAATCATTTCCATATCTTGACTTACCTACGACACAAAAACGAACTCCCTCCCAACTACTCCTTTTGTAGGGTCTTAAAATTTGAAATCACTGTGCAAGTTGTCTACATCGCTGCGCTTTGCACCTTTACATATGTACTGCTAACCTTAAACTTACCAGTGTCAGTCAGCAGGTGGCTTAGACAAAACTACTAGTCTTTTAACTAGTTGACCGGGCCCCACCCACTTTTAAGACGCATTGTCACTCAAGCTGGAATACAGTAGAGCGATATTTTGCTCACTGTAACCTCTGCCTCCCGGGTTCAATTCTTTTGCCTCAACCTCCCGAGTAGGTGGGATTACAGGCGCTCACATTACACCCAGCATTTTTTGTACTTTCAGTAGAGATGGAGTTTTACCAAGTCGACCCAGGCTGTTCTCGAACTCCTGACTTCATGATCCACCCGCCTGGGTCTCCCACCGAAGTGCTGGGATTAGAGGCCTAAACCACCGCGCCTGGTCCACCTTTTGAGACGGAATCTCACTGTCACCCCGATGGAGTGGCAATGTCGATTTCAACTCAACTCCCACCTCCCACGCTTAAAGGATTCTGCCTCCGCCTCAGGAGTAGCGGTGATTATAGATCCCCGCTACACCGCCCAGCTAATTGGCCTCAGATAATCAGCCACACAGCCCTCCCAAATTTAGGGCTGGGATTGTAAGCGTGAGCCACTGCCCAGTGATGAAGTGTACAGCTCTTTAAGTGTATTTGAAGTGGCTCTGAAAAGAGCCTTTGGGTTCCGTTTACTAGGCAGACTTATTTGGAGCTGGTGTACTTAGTGACAGCCTTGGTGCCCTCAGACACCGCATGCTTAGCCAGCTCTCCTGGTAGCAGCAGACGCACTGCTGTCTGAATTTCTCTGGAACTAAGGGTGGAGCGCTTGTTGTAGTGAACTAAGCGTGATGCTTCGCTCGCTATACGCTCAAAGATGTCAGTGGCGAAGGAATTCATAATGCTCATGGCTTTGGAAGATATGCCAGTGTCCGGATGGACCTGCTTCAGCACCTTGTAGATGTAAATAGAATAGCTCTCCTTGCGGGTCTTCTTCCGCTTCTTGCCCTCCTTCTTCTGTGTTTTCAGAACAGCCTTCTTGAAGCCTTTTTTAGAAATGATGGCTCCTTTAGAAGACAGTTCCGGCATGGCTTACCGCACACTTCTGGAGTGTTAACGGCTCTTCAGTGTTAAGCAGCTCTTTTAGGGTGTTAACCAGCTCTTTTGGAGTGTTAACCAGCTCTTTTGGAGTGTTAACCAGCTCTTTTAGGGTGTTAACCAGCTCTTTTGGAGTGTTACAGCTCTTTCTTCCGTAGCACCCTTGCTCCAAAGAATGCCTAGTAACGGGTAACTGTAGAGACGCAAAACTGCGGTATTTATAGGCACGGTCCTCAACTGGCGTGTTGGGTATCCAAAATCTGATTGGACAACCGAAAGTGGCGTGAATGCAAATAAGGCGTTTCTAGTAAGACTCTCTGATTGGGTAGAACGATCATCAGCCAATCAGAGAGCAAATTCCAACCTCAGTTAGACTATAAATAGTCCCAGTAGTGACCCTCTGAGCCGTATTTTTCCGTAGCTGCTATTTTGCACGGAAGACATGTCTGGACGCGGGAAGCAGGGAGGAAAAGTACGAGCTAAAGCTAAGTCCCGCTCTTCTAGGGCGGGCTTGCAGTTTCCTGTAGGTCGAATCCACCGTCTGCTTCGCAAAGGCAAATATGCGGACCGTATAGGAGCGGGTGCGCCAGTATACTTAGCGGCTGTGTTGGAATATCTAACCGCAGAGATCCTTGAACTGGCTGGCAATGCATCTCGTGATAACAAAAAAACTCGCATTATTCCCCGACACCTGCAGCTAGCTATCCGCAATGACGAGGAGCTCAATAAGCTGTTGGGTGGCGTGACGATTGCACAGGGCGGAGTCCTGCCCAACATTCAAGCAGTGCTGCTGCCCAAGAAGACTGAGAGTCACCACCACAAATCTCAAAGCAAGTAATTCCTCCGGATTCTGTTCGGTGCATCTGTGACCGAAGTCAGGAAACAAAAGGCTCTTTTCAGAGCCACCTACTAGCTCAGAAAAGGCTGTGCAGTACTAAACATATATTACTGCTGTCGTTAAGTAACCGTCTTAGCAAGCGCCCGTCAGAAGCAACACCTGTCAAAGTGCACTTCCGCATTGTATGAGGGAATTTCCCTCGAGCTCTGGGTCAACCATTAGTTTGATATTTTAGGGGTACTTACGCTTTAGAATTATACAGACCTAACTAGGTGTGATGGCTCTCAGTTGCCAGAACTTGCACTTGAGGTCGAAGTGGGAGGGTCGCTTAAATCGAGTTTAACATAGCAGGGACTCTGTCCCCACAGAAACTAGCCGGGCCTGGTGGTGCAGGCCTGTAGTCCCAGCTACTTGCGACGTTGCGGTGGGAGCGTTGATGTCGGGCAGCGGCAGTTACAGTAAGACAAGATTGCGCCACTGCACTCCAGTCTGGACGACAAGAGGGAGGCTGTATTTCAAAAACTGTCGGTTAAGGGCTATGTATGGAAGATTGGATTGTAAGCAGGAGAGGTGTGTAACCTTCCAGTCTTAAGTTCAGAAAAATCAGTAAGTAAAATAAGTTAAACGGCATTTAGAACAGAATTCTTAAAATGTAAGAATGTTAAGAAACCTTATACCATATGTGATGTGAGATACTAGAGTCAGGCAGGAATGAAACTAAAAGGCCTAACATAATTTGAGGTTTAGAAATTTGGGACAATAAACCCTTCAAAAGTTTTGACTACTAAAAAGAGGCACAATTGTGTTAGCTTTTTGTGCTGTAAACACCAAGAGAAATTGAAACGCAAAACCCGTTTAGTATCGCTGCCAAATAACTAAAAATTACTGTATGATATTCGATAGTTGACCTTACCTCAAAAAAAGTCACTGCTAAACAATATCTACACAGAATAAGGCATATATAGAAGCAGGTATGGAGAAAATTATAAAGTTCTATAAAATAAAACATGCCGAGTAAGGACAATCAAGTTCAAAGTGAATCTTGAATTAACCTGCATAAAGATAAGGGATGCAATTCGCAAGGCAAAAACCGAAGATTTTTGAAAACAAATGGCAACTATATGTTGAATAAAACTGGGTAATATTTAAAACACGGCAAATGTGAAACAAAATCGGGATATATAAGACAAATCTATACAGATGAATTCCAAGTAATTACTGTAGATACTTCATCAAGTAAGTGGCATTTAACTCCCAGACTTGCCGAAGCACAGAGTATGGAAAGGCAGAGGAGGGACTTGACTTTACAGGAGAGAACCTGTGTGTTCTTTTATTCCAAATGCACAATTTACTTTCATTTCCAGTTCTAATGCAAGCCTATTAAAATTACATTAAACTAAATATTTAGATACAATAAGATGTATGAAAAATTGTAATTACATGTTAAAGGAGACATGTCCCTTGACTTTTGAAAAACAATTTACTTATGTAAGTTTCTGATTTTCCTTATAGAATTTTCACACAATTCATAGCATTTATCTCCAGGTCTTCTTTTTTATTACTGTATTTTGGGGAAATATTTAGAAGGTTTCTTTTATGTTTTCTTATTGACCATGTTTTTTTTTTTTTTTTTTTTTTTTTTTTTTTTTTTGAGACGGAGTTTCGCTCTTGTTACCCAGGCTGGAGTGCAATGGCGCGATCTCGGCTCACTGCAACCTCCGCCTCCTGGGTTCAGGCAATTCTCCTGCCTCAGCCTCCCGAGTAGCTGGGATTACAGGCACGCACCACCGTGCCCAGCTAATTTTTTGTAATTTTAGTAGAGACGGGGTTTCACCATGTTGACCAAGATGGTCTCGATCTGTTGACCTCGTGATCCACCCGCCTCGGCCTCCCAAAGTGCTGGGATTACAGGCGTGAGCCACCGCGCCCGGCCTCTTATTGACCATGTTTTACAGACATTTTTTATTTTTGGACTGTTTCGTATTTCCTTATTAAATTCTGTCATTTCTGTTCAGCTTTTTTCTTCTGTGGTTTTCCAGGGAGGCAGAAAAACTCACAGAATTTTTTCCTGTTGTTTTAAATAGTTGACTTTCTTGTCTAGATGCATTGCCTAATGGTTATGAGTGATAATAAATAAAATGGTGATATTGACCTTTTTTTTTTTGAGACAGAGTCTTCCTCTGCCGCCCAGGCTGGAAGGCAGTGGCCCCATCTCGGCTCACTGCAACTTTCGCCTCCTGGGTTCAAGTGATTCTCCTACCTCATCCTCCTGAGTAACTGGGATTACAGTCGTGTACCATGACGTCTGGCTAATGTTTGTATTTTTAGTAGAGACGGGGTTTCACCAGGTTGGCCAGGCTGGTATCGAATACCTGACCACACACCTCGGCCTCACCAAAGTCCTGGGATTACTGGGTGGGGTCCAGGGCTACAGGTACCGGCCCAGGGAACCTGGGGCTGCCTCAGCAGGCCTCATGGGGAGAAAGCGAGCTGATAGTCTGGGGATTGCCGAAAAGGCAGGAAGGCCCAGAGGCGGCTTGGGAGGGGCCGGGGGCCCAAAGACCTCAGCAAGGCGGCTCTCCCAGGCCCTCTCTCCCCTCCAGAAACCCGTCAGACCTGGTCCCTGCCTAGCTCCGGAGTTTCGGGCCCGCTCCATGTTGGGTTGAGTGCCTTGGGCGCTGGCCCAGGGGGTCTAGGGCTGCCGGGGCGGGCCAAGGGCCTCTGGGGAAGCGGCAGGCGGGCGGGAGAGAGCAAGCTGATAGAGGATGGCTGGGCGGCAGGGAGGCCCAGAGGCGGCTTGGGAGGGGCGGAGGTCTCAAAGCCCCCAGCCAGCCGGTTCTCCTAGGTTCTCTCTCCTCTCGAGGGCCCGGCCAGACCCGGCCCCTGTCAAGCTCCGGAGCTCCGAGCCCGCTCCGGGTTGGGGCGAGGGTTTCGGGCGCCGGCTGAGGAGGTTTGGGGCTGCCGCGGCGGGCCCCAGGGGAAGAAGCAGTGAAGCGAGAGTGAGCTGATAGGGAACGGCTTGGGGCGGTAGGGAGGCCTAGAGGCGGCTTTGGAGGGGTTTGGGGGCCCAAAGCCGCAAGCAAGTCGGCTCTCCCAGGCCCTTTCTCCCCTCCAGAAGCCGGCCAGACGCGGCCCCTGCCTATCTCTGGAGCTCCGCTCCGGGCCGCTCCGTATGGGGGCGAGGTCCTTAGGCGCCCGCCCGGGGCCCTGGGGGTGCCGCGCGGGCCTCCACGGGCTGTCCAGAGCCCCAGGGGAAGCTGCAGGCCGGCAGGAGAGAGGGAGCTGAAAAGGATGGCTGGGGAGGCAGGGAGGCGCGCAGGCAGCTTCGTAGGGGCGCGGGGGCCTAAAGCGCCCAGCAAGCTGGCTCTCCGGGTTTTCTCAAGGGCTGGCCAGACTCCGCCCCTGCCTAGCTCCGACCCTCCGGTCCTACTCCGGGTGGGGGCAAGGCCCCCAGGCACCGGCCGAGGGGGCTGTGGAGCTTCCGCGGCGAGCCTCCACGGGGCGGCCCTGGGTCCCAGGGGAAGCAACAGGCCGGCGGGACAAAGCGAGCTGATAGGCAGGTGGTAGCTAGGGAAACGGGCAGGGCCGCGGGCGGCGTGGGAGGGGCCCCGGGAGAGGCCGCCCAGACCCGCCCCCCCCACCTAGCTCCGGAGCTTGGGCCCACTCCGTGTGGGGGCGAGAACCTTAGGCGCTCGCCCAGGGGGCTTGGGGATGCTGCGGCAGGCTTCCACCGAGGGGCCCCGGGCCTCCGGAGAAGCGGCAGGCAGGTGGGAGAGAGCGAGTTGACAGTCAGGTGGTGACTGGGGAGGCAGGGAGACCTGCCGGCGGGTTGGGAGCCGCCCATCATCACAGGCGTTAGCAACCATGCCCGGCCGACTTATTTTTTATTACAACCAGGCTAATATGACACTTTCTAATGCCTATGCCGGTTTTAATGGGACCTGTGTAATTCCAACATTGGTAAGAGTTATTAATTAAAAATAAATACTGGCTATTAACAATAGCAGTTTAGCAACAACTGGGACAAATATATGCTATTTTTTTTCCTTTTACTTTTAATTAATAATCACATTGAAGGAATTCGGAACCCACCACTCCCAAATATGTCACTCTGACATTACCTATTTGGAGTTAAAGACACTTGAAAAACAGCAGGTGCATGAACACTCGGACATTTGTTTCTTAAAAGCACGAAATGAAAGATGCCCTCCCTGTACCAGAAGGAAAGTATTATTCTCATCAAGGACAGAAAATTAAGGCCAAAGAAAATCTGTACAAATAAACCTTGTTACACCAACCCTTATCTCTCTAATCACTACGCCTAATTAATTACCCTAACCCAAGCCCCTTTGCCTGTCACATTTTCACAATTTACTGCACTTTGTCAGATTCTTCATATAAGTGTTCCATTCTTTGTCTTTGGGTCTTCGTTTCCTTATGAAGTCTCCTGTGCCACATAAAACTCGCATTCAGTAAATCATGTATGCTTTTCTCCTGTTGACCTGTGTTCCTGTCAGTTTAATTCTCAAGCCCAGCCAAAATATCCTGAGGGTAGGAGTTAAGTTTTCCTTCGCCACTGCAACATTATGGATTTCTCATCAGCAATCACAGAAGTCATAAAATGATAGAATAATATCTTTGAAGTTCTAAAGCAAAACAGCTCTCAATTTAAAATTCTGTGCTCAGATGAACTTTTTCTGTGTAAGCGTGAAATAATTTTTGGACAAAGACCAGAAAGTTTTGCCACTCACAAATACATCCTAGAATTAATGCTAGAGAATGTGCTGAAATAAAAAGATTGAACTCAGAAGAAAGATCGAGATGCAGGAAGCAATACTGCCAAAGGAAGAGGTAAAAGTATAAATCCATCTAAATAAATATGCTAGTTGTAAAAAAGGAAAAAACACCTCACAATGATACTTATTAGAATATTAAGAAAAGAAATGAACCAAAAACACTAGACAGTAGATACAAAGGATGAAATGGGCTGAAACAAACTAAAGCATTTTGATGTCCTTGTATTGTTTATAAGGATATACATGCTGATTGTTACATTTTCTTAAGTCAAGTGTATATTTTATTATGTTAAATGTAACCACTAAAATAATAATATTCAGTCCGGGCTCGGTGACTCAAGCCTGTAATCCCAGCACTTTGGGAGGCCGAGGCGGGTGGATCAAGAGATCGAGACCATCCTGGTCAACAGGGTGAAACCCCGTCTCTACTAAAAATACAAATAATTAGCTGGGCATGGTGGCGCACGTCTGTAATCCCAACTACTCAGGAGGCTGAGGCAGGAGAATTTCTTGAACCCAGGAGGCGGAGGTTGCGGTGAGCTGAGATTGCGCCATTGCACTCCAGCCTGGGTAACAAGAGTGAAACTCCGTTTAAAAAAAATTAAAATTAAAATTAAAACAATAATATTCAGAAAAAAGGGATAACAACAAAAAAACACAGCTATACCTTGATTATAAAATACCTAAAATTTATTGGCACAGAACATTTAGAAGAAAAAGAAGGGAGAAAATATATTCCAGACAAAACCGTCCCCCCAAAGAAATTGTTTTGCA